AACCAGCAAGGAATTTTCTTACAATGTGTGGGGACAGTCCTTATAGATGCCTGAGGCCTTTAACCTTTCCATGGGGATCTCGCTGATGCTAATAATAGCTGTTCATGTGAAAGGAAGAGGGTGTTGCATGACTCAGCCTCCAGGTTTGACCTTTGTTTTTGCATAAGGCGTTAGGGGTGGGGAGGTCCTGAGATTTTTATTTTCCTTTACACCCCTGAGATCTGATCAGGTTCCTCATCCTCTACCATCACCTAGGTGATGTCTGAGCACCCTCGCCTGCCTTCGGCAAGAATCCTGTTAGGTTGGTTTAACCAGAATGTTTCCTCTTGGTAATTTTCCACCCATTGACCCCCCACTCTGCTCCTTGGCCATAAATTCCCAGTTGCCCATGCTGTATTCAGGTTTGAACCCAGTCTCTCTCCTCCACTACAGGACTCTTGCAGCGGTTCTTCTGTCATGATGATCCTGAATAAAGTCTTCCTGACTGTGCTTTAACAAGTATTGTTGAATAATGTTTTCTCTTTAACAGTTGTTAAAGAAACCACTTCACTTTTATTGTCTTTTCCATTCATTTTCTTTAGCAAATATCTTTGCAGCTTTCCAACATGCTATACATGTGGACTCCTTTCAGGAAGAAAAAGGAAGTGTTGAGTTGTAACAGCCCAGCCATGCTCTAAGAGAAATCAAGGTTTGATCACCCTCTACTGGCCAAGCATGCTGATGGCAGCAAAATAAGTGACGATGAGAATGAGCAAAGAGGATCCAGAAAACCACCTTTTTAAGAGAGAACCATGACCACCCTGCTGGAAATGGAGGAAGAGAGCCAGGATGACAGTACACACTGGTAGCTTTTTCCTTCTGGATTTTTGCTACAAAGGGCACAGCAATCCTTTTTCTTTTTTCAAGCCAAATAATCTTCCAAGAAGAAAGAGAACAGAGTACAGCTGGGTGTGGTGGTGTGCTCCTGTAGTCCTAGCTACTCAGGAGGCTGACGTGAGAGGATCCCTTGAGCCCAGGAGTTAGAGTTCAGCCTGGGTAACATAGAAAGACCCTGTCTCTCTTAAAGAAAAAAAAAAAGGTAAGAACAGAGTAACTTAGAGAAAGTAAAGTGGGAGAGTCCAGAGGTTATAATGAGTTCATGTCTCCAGGCCCACACATTTTACATTCCAAGATTCAGAAGCAACTTCCAGACATGATCGTGGAACTGCTATAGGTGACCTTTAGGACAATCATACATGACAATTTTCAAAGCTTTTGAAGGGCTGGCAAGAACAACAACTAGATGTATTTTGTGGAGGAAAATGACTAGAGTCAGTGAATTATTGACTAGAGTCAATTGAAATTACAGGAGAGTAGATTTTTGCTTTAATTTCAATAACTTATTAGCAATTAGAACTCTCCAAAAGAAGGGAAGTATTTTCTAAAGTGGTAAGTGCTTTACTATGGAAAGGGTTAGCAGCAGAGGGCCGTCATAGAAACAACATGTGCATGTTATGAGTGGTTAGACTGCGGATAACCAAGGTGACAAATTCAGTCAACATTTATTGGACTCGTTTTTATTATCATTGACCATATTTGTAATTATTTGTTTACATATCTGCCAAGAGCTGTGTATTTTTCATTTTTAAATGTTTGTGTCTTAGCATAATGCCTGACATATTGTAAGTTCTTGATAATTATTTGTTGACTGAACTCTGGAAATCAAAACCATTCTGAAGAGGAAATACATGTAACACATCATAGGAAGTCACCAGCACACTAACATTTCCTTTGTCTAATCTCTTGGGTTTTTGTCATATGGTCATGGTTATATTAATGGCAGACAATAATGGATATCCTAAATTAGTTTTAATACAATGTGATTTGGATGGACAGCATATTGATCTTTCTAATGATAATTTTGAAAATCTCTTGAGGTATAGCAAGCACACAGGATTGATCAGAGAATCTGGCTAGTACTCTCAGCTCTGCTACTAATTAGCTAACTAGTGTGCCTTGGATTTGACTTCTTCAGGCACTAGTTTCTTCATCTGAAAACAATTTCAGCCCTTTTGCTCAGGGTGGCAAAGTGTCCTGTTCCGGCACTTCAACTTGGGCAGCCATACCCGAACATACAAAATAGGCCAATTTCAGCCCTTTTGTGGGGGTGGCCAAGTGGCATATTTCAGTCCTATAACTTGGCCAGCAATATCCCATCATCCCATAAGGGCCAGCTTCAGCCCTTTAGCGTGGGGTGGAGAGAGTCCTATTTCAGGCCTTTGACTTGGCAGCAACACCCAGTCATCCCCTATAGGCCAATTTTAGCTTATTTGCTTTGGGTGGCCAAGTGGCCTACTCTAGCCCTTTAACTTGGCTGACAGTACCCAACCATCCCCATAGGACCAATTACAGCCCTTTTGCTTGGGTTGGCCAAGGGGCCTATTCTGGCCCTTTAATTTGTACGGCAATTAAAGTGTCTCTTTGAATGTTAAATATTTTACAACTCTAAGCTCCTTTGCTTTATGGGCACCACAGCCCATTACAACAATGGGCTTGGAATTAGAAGGATTTTCTTCAAGCCCCACATAACCACTTAGTGGTTTCGTGACTAGGCAAAGACACTTTGACTAAGGCCAGATGGAGCATCAACAAAGCATCAACAGAGGGGCGGGGGGTGCTCATAGAATGTGCACAGGTTTCCTGGTTCTTCCCTCTGCCCCAGTGATCCTGTTCCCATTTCCCATCTCTTCTTTTCCCAGTCTAATTCAGAGCAAGTATAGTACCTAAGAGCACAGGCTTTGGGGAAAAGAGAGCCAAGTTTGAATCTTGACTCTCCCACATATCAGTTGTGTGACATTGGAAAAGTTAGTTTTCTGAGCCCAAGTTTCCTGATCTATAAAGTTTCACAGGGTAAATATACTAGGGATTATAATATTTCATAGCATCAAGACAATGAACATAAATATGTGAGTAGTAGATTGTTTCCAAAAATGGTCACATTATCTCCCACATGCTCCTGCAATGTGACCAAGAGATAGAGGCTGTTTTTCCTCCTCTTGATTCTGGCCCAGTAACCTATTTTACAAACCAAATGTGGTGGAAATTATGCTATGTAACTTCCAAGGCTGGGCTTTAAGACATCTGCAAGTTCACCTCTTAAAATATTCCTTTTGAGGAATGCCACAAAGAATCCCAAGCAGCTATGCAAAGAGACTCACATGAAGGAGAACCAAGGTCCCCGGCCAATATCTCCAGCTGAGCTCCAGTCTGGGGGCTAGTACCAACTGCCAGCCATCCTAACTCCTCAGTCAACACTACAGAAAGCAGAACAACCCAGCCAACCCACAGATTTATAAGACTATCTGAAAAATGTTAAATAATTAGTATGTTAATGCATTATGGGGATTTCGTTTTGTTTTTTTGTCTTGGCTTTTTTTCTGGAGACAGGGTTTTGCTCTGTTGCTAGGGCTAGAGTGCAATGACATTGTCATAGCTCACTGAAACCTCAGACTCCTGGGCTTCCGTGATCCTCCTACCCCGGCCTCCCAAAGTGCTGGGGTTACAGGCATGAGTCACTATGCCCAGCCAAGACAGTAAGTTTTGTAGTAATCTTTTTATACAGCAATAAAAAACTGAAACCAAATGCTTAACACAGTACCTGGCCCATAGTAAATACTCGAAGGAGATGTGTGAAGGGAATGTGAATGGTAAACAAATGTTAAAATGTTGGAAGGTAGGGGAGAAACTAATGGGGATATGGGGCAAGCTGTGGGAAGAAAACGTTGAAGGTTGTTCAGCCCGTCAATTCACTGTGCAAAACTCCCAACCTCCCCATCCCCTGTGCTGTCCCATTCTTCAAAACAGCATGAGATAATACAAGAAGCATCACTTTTGAGAAACTCTAATAGAAAAGTTTCCTTTTTATTGAACTTTTCCATCATTTCTATTCATTGGTCTCATCCTACCTTCTGGGATCCCATAAGACAAACTCCCTTTTCAAATGACACTTCACACATATTTGAAAACTAACATCGTTTGTCCTTCATTCTCCCCTTGTCTAAGTTGAGGAAAAATTCTCCAGGTTTTCTTAGGTTGAATAGCGTGGTGTTCAGGTCTCATACTGAATTTGCTTGCTTCTGAAAGGCCCTTAACATGTGGCACCCAGAAGGAGCCCACCTTGGATGTCTGACCAGTGCAGAAAGATTGGCCTCATTAAAAAACATCTTAGGGCTGGGCACGGTGGCTCACACTTGTAATCCCAGTGCTCCGGGAGGCCCAGGTGGGAGGATCACTTGAGCTCAGGAGTTCGAGACCAGCCTGAGCAAGAGCAAGACTCCTTCTCTACCAAAAATGGAAAAATTAGCCAGACGCAGTCCCTGGCACCTGTAGTCCCAGCTACTCCACTACTCCAGCGGCTGAGGCAGGAAGATAGCTTGAGGTCAGGAGTTGGAGGTTGCAGTGAGCCATGATGATGCCACTGCACTCTAGCCGGGGCAACAGAGCAAGACTGTGTCTCAAAAATACATATGTGTATATATATATCTTAGGAAAATGATAATTTTGTCTGAGGCTTGCTTCAAAATAATCCAGTGAGAAGCGCATGGGGGAACGAATGAAAAGTTTGACATGTGGTCATTGTTGAAGCTGGCCACTGTATACAAGGAGATTCATTATGTCATTTTCTCTACTTTTGTGTGTCTTTGAAAATAAACTTTTTAAAAATGATCCTAGAATACATCAGGAGAAAATGATGTCAAGTATGTATAAATTTATGGTGCATTTAGACAGGGAATTCCGTGTGCAGGCATGATGCTGTCCCTCAACACGTGTGAGTTTTGCAGGACCAGACCTTTGGTAAAAACGGGGCAAGGTCCCAAACTGTTCACCGTGGAGGACGACCCAGCTCCTCACAGGCGCGCCTCAGCGGCCAGCGAAGGCCTGAGACACCGAGATGCCAAGAGCTCCTGCCGACTTCCTAGAGGGGCCGCCACGGCCCCACAAAACCCTCCGCGGGGCGGAGCTATGACGCGCTTCCGGTCCCGCCGGCTCGGGGTGCGTCGTGCGTTCTCCCCGCGCCTGGAGCGGCTCTGACTCACGGTGAGCTTGCTGGTACCTGGTTAGCGTGGCGGACGAAAAAGGGAGCCTTGGTCCGAAGGTTTGGGAGGAAGGAGTGGGTTTAGCAGCTGTGGCCTCCGGGGACGCCCTCAGACCGGTCCTAAGAGGACTGTGGGGAGGAGCCCCCCGTCCCCACCCAGGCCCAGCTGGTGGAGGCGCCGGCTCCCTGGAAAGCCTTTCCCTCCACCCAGGGCTTTTAACAAATGATACCTTGTCTCTTTCGCGTTCTAGAAGAGTTTTTCTGTGCGTTCCCGAAGACGAGCCGTCTGACTGCGGCTGCCTCTTTTCCTCGTTGATCTGGAGGCTAATTGATGGGAACACGCCCCAGGGGTTGGGAACCTCGTTAGAGATCTTAGAGATCTTGGGTAGTGTCCAATCTAAGGGAGGGACTAGTCCCCTGCGGCTTTGTAGTGTTAGAAAGCATACATATAACAGAAATCTGCTCAAGTTTGGAAACACATTTTTAGAGAACCATTTATAAATAGAGTGTCAAGAGAAAGGTGATTTGGTGGGTGAGGTACTTGGAAACCCACCAGCTGAACTGTGCAAGACACTTGTTTTCAAGTACTGAAGGCTACTGTGGAGAAAGTGAGTATTGGTCTAGGACCAAACTAGGATCTTTCAAGTGTGACGCACAATTTGGTTCAGCTTAAAGAAGACCTTGTAACAATTAAAACCGTCCAACAGTAGAATTCTGTGCCTCAAGAATTATCTAATTCGCCTGCCTAGGAGTTTTCAGTGACAGAGTGAGATGTATTAAAGTTATTCCAGCACTAGTTGGTAAGTGCTGTTCAGTTGATAGAATCTGTGATAATGTGATTTTATTTATGCCTCATCTTCTTCCAGAAGGGTTTTGGACGGTTTTATAAGGGCATGTAAGCTTTGGGAAATTGGCATAAAGGAGGGGGGAAAACTGGGAACAGAACAAAGGCCTGCTATTGATCATGAACTTTCGTTTGATGGGCTTCTCGAGCTAAACATTTTAGATAGTTTTTAAAAAGTAATTAACTGGCCGGGCGTGGTGGCTCACACCTGTAATCCTAGCACTCTGGGAGGCCGAGGCGGGCGGATCGTTCTGAGCTCAGGAGTTCGAGACCAGCCTGAGCAAGAGCGAGACCCCGTCTCTACTAAAAATAGAAATAAATTGGCCAAACAACTAAAAAAGTAGAAAAAAAAAAATTAGCCGGGCATGGTGGCGCGTGCCTGTAGTCCCAGCTACCTGGGAGGCTGAGGCAGGAGGATCGCTTGAGCCCAGGAGTTTGAGGTTGCTGTGAGCTAGGCTGATGCCACGGCACTCGCCCCAGGCAAGAGAGTGAGACTCTGTCTCAGAAAAAAAAAGTAATTAACTGTCGTTGAAGACAATGTGAGTTCTTTATGAAGGCTCTGTTTTTCTATCGAAAATTCAAAACCCAAGACCTGGAGAGCATCCCTATGTGAACCTTTAGACAAAAATGTGAAATTATCAGCTTTCTTCACGGAGGAAAAAGAAATATTAAGATAGTGTATTATCAGATTTTTTTTAATCTTATGAATTTGATACATGAAATCATTTCATTGTAGCTTTAATTTCTGTTCTTATAGCTAAAGTTAAGCATCTTTTCGTGGATTAATTGCTAAACTGAGACTTGAAAGACAAATAGAAGCATGCCACAAGTATTGGACATTGATGGGACATAGAGAGTGAGAAAGGAAATGATGAGAAAGAATGGGGAGGCAGAAGCCAGATTGTGACTTTTCGTGTAAAGATATTAAAAGGTTTTAAGCAGCTGAGTGATAAGAGCAAATTTGTATTTTAAACCTCTGCAGATAGCCTTTGAGCCTGTGGCGATAAAATTGCGAAACTGGAAAATGGCCTGTGTGATTTCAAAGGAGGATATTATCTGAATGTTGCCAGCTAGTTAAAAGTCACAGGTATTTGGTCAAATTTAAAAATAGGCTTTGTGGTACATTTAAAATAAATCTGCTAGACCATAAAACAAACAAACAAATAAATAAATAAGTAAAATAGATTTGCTAGAAATACATTAGGCCAATGTTCTGGCAATCGTTGGAAAAGAATCAGAAATTAACTATTGTTGCTCCTAGAGACAAGGCAGGCATGTATTTTTTTAAATAATCAGAAAAGGTGCCTGTAATCTTAGCACTCTGGGAGGCTGAGGTGGGCAGATTATTTGAGCTCAGGAGATCAAGACCAGCCTGAGCAAGAGCAAGACCCAGTCTCTACTATAAATAGAAAGAAATTAGCTGGACAACTAAAAATACATAGAAAAAATTAGCTGGGGATGGTGGTGCATGCATGTAGTCCCAGCTACTCGGGAGGCTGAGGCAGTAGGATTGCTTGAGCCCAGGAGTTTTGAGGTTGCTGTGAGCTAGCTAACGCCATGGCACTCTAGCCCGGGCAACAGAGTGAGACTCTGTCTCAAAAAAAAAAAAAAAAAAATCAGAAAAGGGCACCACAACTTTTTAAATGTCCAATTAACTGTAAGAGTCTGCTGTAAAATCATAAATGTTGTTGAAGTTAACAGCTATATTTCTCTTTATCACCCTTCCATAATGGAAGAGCATTAACCAAAGCTGCTTTTTCGCCCCGCAATGCCCCATAATTTTTTTATTTAAATAAGCATTTTATTTTAGAATAGTTTTAGATTTACAGAAAACCACAAAGATAATACAATGAGTTCCCATACACCTCTCATCCAGTTTCCCTTACTGTTATCATCTTACATTTACTGTGTTCTTTTGTTACAACTAAGGAACCAATATTGGTACATTGCAATTAACCAAGCTCCACAGTATATTCAGATTTCACTCGTTTTTCTCTAATGTCCTTTTTCCGTTTGAGATCCCATATAGGATACCACATTGCATTAGTCTTCATGTCTATTTAGTGTCCTGTAGTCAGTGACAATTTTGCAGCCTTTCCTTGTTTTTGATGACCTTGACAGTTTTGAGAGGTACTGGTCAGATATTTTGTAGAAGGTCCCTCAATTTGGGTTTTTCCGACGTTTTTTCTTGGTTAGACTGGGGCCTGTGGGTTTTGGAAGGAAAACACAGAGGTGAAGTGCTCATCATACATCAGGGAACATGCTATCAACATGACTTATCACTGATGATGTTAACTTTGATTACGTGGCTGAGGTAGTATTTGCCAAGATCCTTCACTCTGGTTACTTTCCTGCCACCTCTTTCCATGTGTTACTCTTAGAAAATAAGTCACTCAGTGCAGTCCACACTCAAGAGGTGGGGAGTTAAACTTCACCTCCTTGTGCGGGGAGTATCTACGTAAGTTATTTAGAATTCTGTGCAGGAGATTTGTGTCTTCTCCCCTTTTCATTTATTCAGTCACTTTTTTTTTATATCAGTATAGACTCATGGATATTTATTTTGTACTTTGGGTTATAATGCAGGACTATGTTAGTTATTTTGTTGTTCAAATTGTTACAGTTGTGGCCATTAAAAGCTTTTTTCTTCTTTTTAAGTTTGGTTTCCATGTCCCTTTGACATAACCCCATCACTTTGTTTTCTGAAAACTTTCTGGCACTATAATATGCTCCAGGCCCATCTTGTATATTCCCCAACCAAGAATCAGCCATTTCTCTATTTCCTGGTTCTTTTTGTTGCAGAGCGATATTTAGAAACCAAGATCTAGGAGCTGGTTGTGCTCATTGCTACTGGGATGCCATTGCTTTTAGGCCTTCACAGCTGACAGAGCTAGGAAATAAATGTATGTGTACTAAGCCATATATACACACTTACCTAATCTGTAACCATCTGTACCTATATAAAGCTAAACATGAATTTATACTACCATATTTTTATAAGTATTTAACTTAAATATGTAATATTGGTATCAATATTAAATTTGTATTGATATTATTTTTTAAAGCCTGTTTTCACAGTTCTACTACTTAAGAGTAGCCCCCAGAGATCTATGTACATTCTTTCCACTAATATTTGAGCACCTGCAAAGTGCCAGGTGTATTCTAGACATTTGGAATATAACAGTGAACAAAATAGTCCCTACCCTCTAGAGTTGATATTCAAAGGAGGAAACAGTTTTTGAAAAAGTGAAAACATAGTGTGTGTATATAGTATATTGTATGATGATAAGTGATGTGGAGAAAAGGAGTAGAGAATGGGGCTTAGGAGTTCTGGGGCGAGGGAGAGCAGTGTACAGTTTAAAACAGGTGACCAGGGATGCCTCAGCGGAAGGTAAATTCTGAGTACAGACCTGAAAGAGGTGAGGGAGTGACGGAGTCTGGAGGAGTCTGGAGGAGAGTGAGGCAGAGGGAGCAGCAAATGCAAAGGCTGTGAGGTGGGAGTGTGCCCCCCATGTTCAAGGCACAGTGTGGCTGGGCTGGATTGAACAGGAGGGGGGAGAAGTACAAGATGAGGTCAAAGGTGACAGGGCTGAGATTGTGTGAGGCCCTGTTGGTCACTGTGTTGACTGGCTTTTTCTCTGTGAGACAAGAAGGCTTGAAGGGTGTGAGCAGAGGGATGATGTGACCTGATTTGGGGTTGTTTTGGTTTTTTGTTTGGTTGGTTGGTTTTTTGTTTTTGTGGGGGTTTTTTTGAGACAGGGTCTTGTTCTGTCACCCAGGCTGGAGTGCAGTGGCGTCATCATAGCTCACTGCAACCTCAAACTCCGAGGCTCAAGTGATCTTCCTTCCTCGGCCTCCCAAGTAGCTGGGACTACAGGCATGCCCCACCACACCCAGCTAATTTTTTATATTTTGTAGAGATGGGGTCTCACTATGTTGCCCAGGCTGGTCTCCAATTCCTAAGCTCAAGTGATCCTCCTTCCTTGGCCTCCCTAAGTGCTGGGATTACAGGCGTGAGCCACCGTGCCTACCCTGACTTGTATTTTGGACAGGCTCACTCTGGCTGCTGTGTTGTGAATAGACTGAGGGAAGCAGTTGGGCTATTACAGACCAGAGATGATGGACTAGGATGGTAGTGTGAGAGGTAGTGAAAAGTGGTTG